GTGATATAGTCCTTCTATTTTAACGTTAATTCTATAAATGGCCTATTTAAAGTCCAATTTAGACTTTCCAGAAGTCAACTTCTTTTTCACAAGAACGAACGGAGCCGAGCACTGCAGTCCAGGCTGCCTGCAGTCCGTGCTTTCTAACACACCAGCGTGACGTCGTCACCTACACCGCAATACAAAACCAGACTGAAAGACAGTGGAATTGTTTATGTCTATTGTCGATTTTTATGACACTTGAGACAAAATTGCTGGATTATTTTAAATGAGACAAAATTCACAACAAGATCATCTGTTGTAAAATGTGCAGTATATAAATCTTTATACCTCACTTTTGAACAGATACTTTATACTATTTCTAGTTGCACAAATCTTTGTATGTGTTTCATAATTACCTAGATTAAATCATTGACGAGTCCTCACGCAATTGCCCTTGGTTGAAAGACATGGTGATATAATTGTTGGATTATATTTCCAGACACTATCGCTATATCCCCTGCGCTAATCCCATACGTAAGTGTATTTATTAATATTATTATCATTATTGTACTAAATTGAACTTGACCATTGCCGAAATTTGTGGTTTGAACTTTCAGCTAGACATCATTCTTGTCTGAAGCACATGGTGACATACATGATTTGGATATTTCAAGGCACTACTATTGTCACCATAACACTATTATCCTTCATAATTATCCTTTGGGAAAATGTCAGTCGTAAGACTATACCATCCTTGACAGTTGCATTGAGACACTCACTTCTTTTAAATCTTTAATCAGTCTGAGGATAGCATTCCCCTCTCACCTGTTCAATGCTTAAAATTTGCATAATTTTATTTGAGCATGCCCGTAAACTTATTTATTTATTAACTTTACAATTCCAACCGGTCTGTGCCGGTAGTGAGAATTTTTTTATTTTTTTTTATTTTCCAAATATGTTTACAATACATTTCGTAAGTTATATATATTTACGTACTAGTTTACATTATACATATTTGGATACAGAGGAGGTCGGACAAGCAATTAGCGAGTTGTCACGTGAGCTCTCGACCAATGAGATCGCTCTATTTTCCATCGTGCTATCTGCATAATTTGGACAGAAAAATTTGCATTCGACGGAAAATAAATCGAAAAAAAATATTAATATT